AAAGGATATATTACACTAATAATTAATAAAAAAAAAAACAGAGCCATAATTAGGTAAAAACTTATCCAATCACAAAACACCGACAATATGCATCAGGGCACTTGAAGACAAAGCTTCTGTGAAAGTTTGAACGAAATCCCTTGAGAAATGTAGGAGGAGTTGCGCACAGAAGGAATTGTTCACTTCATATTATATATGTGAAAGAAAAAACAAAGGGCCATAATTAGGTAAAAAAATTATACAATCACAAAACCCAAACAATATGCATCAGGGCACTTGATGACAAAGATAATCTGTGAAAGTTTGAACAAAATCCTTTGAGAAATGTAGGGGTAGTTGCGCAACAGAAGAAATTGTTCACTATATATTATATATAAGGGGAAAAAACAAAGGCCCATAACTAGGTCAAAATTATCTAGTAATCACAAAACCCCAACAATATGCAATAGGGCACTTGATGACAAAGCTTCTGTGAAAGTTTGGTCAAAATCCGTTGAGAAATGTAGGAGGAGTTGTGCACAGAAGAAATTGTTTACGCCCACACGTCCACCCGCCTGTCCGCCCGCCCATCCGCCGACATGCATCAATCTAATAACCAGTTTTTTCCTTCGGAAAACCTGGTTTTTAAAAATGTAATGGTAAAAATCAACGAACAAACTGTTCAAATCTGCAGACAAAGTCTCCTATAACTTTGTAGTGAGTGACAATGTGCTGGTTTAATTATTCTTAAATATGCTTTTAATTTTTGATAGGTTGTATATGCTGTATTACATTGATGAGACTATAATAAAGAATAACATAAAGTTGTTGGAGTACAGAAGTCATATTACCCCAAAATTTCATACACTTTTTATTTATCTAAATATTAAGATAAATTCAAATATCTAGTTCTTGCAATGAACTGCCCAACACATGAATGAATCTATCTTGTCCGTTTCCGGATCATCACAAAACACAAATAATTTTCCGGTTATCATTCATTATTTTATCGTATCAAATACAATCTAATATTGTTATGCAGATCTTTATTACAATCTGTTGAATAATTGTGAATTAGTGTCGTATAATTGTATATGATGGATTAGATGTCAGATCATTTTAACCAACCGTAAACGGTACTTTCCTCAGGGTATCATTTTCACCTCCATCTGCTTTGTGCGTCTTGGTTACAATTCCTACAGGACACCATTCTGATTATAAACAAACGTGCATACAGTGTTTTTTTTCTTCTCATTTTTGCTTCAATGCGCATCTTTCCATGAACGTTCTATTTTTACCGATTATTTTACGACAAACGAACTTGTCGAATTGATACTAGTAAGGAAATATTAGTTATCAAAATCTGATCGTGCATATTTCAACAATGGTTCTTTGTAAATTTAAAACAAGAGCCATGTCAACATGACCATCCCCCGCCGAATGTGTTTGCTCATTTGAAGAATGTATATGTAGTAGACCAGAATAATTCCATTTTAAGACGTCTTTTGGTAATGAAAACTGATGGCTGATGCGATTACAGATTTGAAACCTATATGAATACTGATGGCTGAAAATAACAAAGGGCAATAACTGAAAAATAATGCAGGGTAGGTTATTATATTCTTGTCTGCTGCACCCCTCCTCAGTAAAATCTATCCACCTATGAAGTTTCAAGCTGATACCTCAAATACTTTTTGAGAAAAGCTCCGGACAAAATAGTATGAAAAAGAACAAAGGGCAATAACTCAAAAATTATATAGGGAAAAGTTATCATTCTTGCGCACAGCATTCCTCCTCAATAAGATCTATCCACCTATGACATTTCATGTTGACAACTCAAACACATTTGAGTTATGCTCCACTCAGGTGAAAAATTAAGTATGAAAAATAACAAAGGGCAATAACTCAAAAATTATGAAAGGTAGAGTTATCATTCTTGTGCACTGCACACCTCCTCTGTAAGACCTATGCACCTATGAAGTTTCATGTTGATATCTCAAAGGCTTTTAGAGTTATCCTCTGGACAAAAATTAATTTTGAAAAATAACAAAGGGCAATAACTCAAAAATTATGCAGGGTAGAGTTATCATTCTTGTGCACTGCACTCGTCCTCAATGAGATCCATCCACCTATGAAGTTTCAAGTTGATACCTCAAATACTTTTTGAGATAAGCTCCGGACAAAATGGTATGAAAAAGAACAAAGGGCAATTACTCAAAAATTATATAGCAAAGAGTTATCATTCTTGTGCACAGCATTCCCCCTCAATAAGATCTATCCACCTATGACATATAATGTTGACATCTCAAACACTTTTTGAGTTATGCTCCACTCAGGTGAAAAATTAAGTATGAAAAAAGAACAAAGGGCAATAACTCAAAAATTATGAAAGGTAGAGTTATCATTCTTGTGCACTGCACACCTCCTGAGTTAGATCTTTGCAACTATGAAGTTTCATGTTGATATCTCAAAGGCTTTTTGAGTTATGCTTTGGACAAAAATTAATTTTGAAAAATAACAAAGGGCAATAACTCAAAAATTATGCAGGGTAGCGTTATCATTCTTGTGCACTGCACTCCTCCTCAATGAGGTCTATCCACCTATGAAGTTTCAAGTTGATATCTCAAATACTTTTTGAGATATGCTCCGGACAAAATGTCGGACGGAAGGACGAACGGATGGATGGACAGACGAACGGAGACTATTTCTATATCCCCCGCCGCCTTTTCGGCGGGGGATAATAAGCATTCTTTAAAGGAAAATTAGTCTCAACATCGATCAGAGCTATATTCTAGAGGAAAACAGTGAAGATACTGGCCTGTGGGGACATCTACAATCATGTAAAGGTTACTACAAGCTAATCAACCTCTTTTTAAAAATAACTCAAAAGGAATATTTTACCTTTAAAATGACAATACGTGTATGCCGGTCCAAGTATGAATGGTGAGTGCACATTGTAACAGTAAAAATAACCTTATATTATGCCATAATTGCATTCAGTTTTATATTTTACTAAGCAAATGTATAGAGAATAATAGGTTGGTGCCGTGGATGGAGAAAGTTTATCTGGCGAGGCGGAGGAATTTATTGGGTGAGCCGAAGGCGAACCCAATAAATTCCGAAGCAGAGCCAGATAAACTTTCTCCATCCACGGCACCAATCTATTATTCTATACTCAACATCACTAATTCCGCGTCATCACTTACCTCGCGGTGATGGCATATTTTCATGTGGCCAGTGTTAAAATTGGTCAGAATTGACATATTTTATTCAAACACCTTAACAACAAAGTTTTTGTGCAAAATAATTTAAATCTATAGATTTTTTCATAAAACTGAGCAACATTTTACAAACTTTTGCAAAAAACAACAATAGTCCATTAAATTTGTGCATACGTCTGAAACAATCATCATTTTCTAAATGTTCTTGTTTGTTAAAAAAATAAATTTTGAGTTACAATGTAAAGATTATTTTAATATTTAAATTATGCAAAATAACATAAAGAAATTTTAACTGAAACATGAAAAAACTGAAATAAAACACCATTACCGCGAGTTAAATGATGACATACTATTTTCAAAATGGCCGACACACGGTCTACATCTGACAAATTAAAACTAATTTAGATTGAATATATTGTTGCTTCCTCGTGTCATATTGCAGAAAAATGACTAAATGATACAGTTCATGACAGTTTTTGTAGTGAAAGTTTACTGTTTGTGTTCTTTACTGTTTTAAAGTGTTAAGTACCGTGACCTAAGAGGAGCACAGTATATTTATCCTGTCACCGTTTTTTTTAAAGAATTTTATTAGGCAAACTACCTTTAATCACACTATCGGAAATGTTTCTATATAAACAAAGAAGGCCCGAAGCGTGCATTATTCTACAACAATGCACTCGCCGTTCTTATTATCTCCCTGTGTATTTTCACATTGAGGGCGCCATTTTGTTTGAAAAATGTGATAAATTAAAACAATTTTTTGTCGAATTTTGTTGTGAAAACTATCTAGAATGAAAGAAAATGGTCTAACTAAGAAAATGAATTCGAGCACCAATATCTTTTATTCAGTTGTTAACGCTGTACAGACGTTTAAAGTATTGTTTACGTGACGTCACAATGTAACGCCAAACAGCACGTGCAAAACAATCAAATCAAGTACGCTATTTTAATGTCGCAAACGAGTTAAGTTTTACATCTATTCACTTTTAATAATTTTTATTTCGCTTGAAAAATTATAGAGTGAAATAAAATAAACAAACAAAGTTTTATCAACGTTTCCAAAATTCGTTATTCTACACACAGAAGATTTAACGAACGTTTCTATTGGAAACTCTGAGGCGAAAACAATTTTAACCACCAAATTTAATAATAATTATATTTTTTCTTGAAAAGTAGTCCGGCAAACAATGCATACCACGTGATCAAGTGCCGTAGATCAGTAAAAATATACGGCACCGTGTTATAGGGCCGAAATTGTTACAAGTGACCGGATAAAATCAATAATCCTCATGAACAAATAAAATTTCTATAAATATCGTTCCAAATATATTAGTAACATATAATTTTTAAATAGAGTGGGTGCAGTCTTGTCATGTTTAAGTAAGTACTTTTTACATTTTATCCTAAACCTTTTTCATTATCAATTATCGTTCAATCACCATTATAATAGTGAATCTTTTGAAATACCGGGTACATTACAAATTCAACACAACTTGACAGCAAAGAAATGAACATAATGCCACTTTAAAATGCCCTTTTTAGTAATAAAAGGGCCATAACTCCAAACTCCATGATTTTCATGGCACATGTTCCCTATTCATACCAACATTCTTGCAAAGGTTCGAGAAAACTGGACACAAACAAACCCAAAGAAATGGGTCTGAACGGACAGATGGACAGATGGACCTCTTCCATATCCCCCTAAACATCTTATAAGTGGGTTATAGTAGTACACTGTCAGTAAATTATCAGTGGCAATGTGTTGGCATGGAATGAACTTTAACTAAATACAAAACACTCTTAGTCTTAACAATTTTAATACAGATTTTAGGCAAATAAATAAATAAATAGATAAAAGCATGCAAATAATACACGTATTGCAATGGTTAAAAGTTAAAACATTATTCAGATTTTCTAAGAACACTATATTAGTTTGTATAAATGGTCAATTTGCATCTTCTGTCTGTTCCTTTCATGTCATTAGATGAGTCCTGTCAAACCCCTGAGCTGTAAAACAAAAGAAATTGATCACATTGTAGACAAAAACAAAAGACTCAAAGTTTCCTGTACAAAACCACTTAGTGTCTTATTATGTTTATACACGCAATTTTATCATTATCACTTCCTGAAGATTTGCTTTGCTAAAAACATTTGTTCTTTGACAATCTTTTTTTTCTCCTATAAAATATAGATTACAAAAGAAACTACATTAATTTCATAATGTGATAAAAAAAAACTTCTTAAACTTGAAATAAATGTAATAAATGTGCTTCCTGTTATATAAGACTTGGAGACATTTTTATAACATATAACATTTTGACTGTTTGTTTGTTTGGTTTGGTTTTACGGCAGATCAACACAATTTAGGTCATATGGCGCCAAAACCACCTCATCTGCTGTAGCTTAGAGATAAATACACACCAGTAATTCGAACCCCTTTAGTCACCTCTTACAATCACATGATGCTTTAAAGGCAACCCTTCAGCCACAAGGGGAACAATTTGACTGTTACATGTCCTAGTTTGTTGAAACAATCATATTTGTTTTGTTTGGTTTAAAAGGCATTTTTATGAACCCACTTATTCATGCATCCACTCATTTATGCATCCACAACTTTGTTTTAGGAAGCAAACTCATAAGTTATGGAAAAAACTTCAATCTTTCATCATAACCAAATAGAATTGATGTTTTTAATTTAAAACACGAAATATTTTGTATTTTATGCATTCTAATATGTAGATGAATTGGACATTGTACAACATTTAAATTGAGGGTTACAAAAGAACAACTGCAGAAGCCAACTGAATCAAATGTTTGCCTCAAGGCTATCAGGATTTCTTGCATGACACCAATATTGATAAGTCACAAAACAGGTGTACAAAATGTGATATCAATAAGCTTTGAGCATTACTGGTGATTGAAGACATAGATGTCCTTCTGATTAAAAATTTAATTATCAAATACTGACAGAGAATAATCTTGAATAGTCAAATATCCAAAAAGTGAAAAAGAATTACATACCAATTGTGCAAAGAATAACTTTTGCCTGAAAAAAGAATACCAAAATACACTTCAAAACATTATCAAATAATTTTATAGTCCTGTTGAATTTCAATTTAAACAACTTTAGAAAAACTGAAATGTCAAGTGTTTATCTGAATAGTTTACAATAGTTTGGAAAGTGCAACAGTAAAGAAGAAAATGTCTAAATTACACACTGAATCAGCTTTACATTTAAATACAGTATAGAAATAACTTTGTGTCTCTAAAATGTAAAGTATTTTAAACACATTTCTATACATTTATATGCATTAAATCATTTTTTATGTTTTAATTACACAGCTTTATATAGGACCAGATTTCATATTTTGTATAAAATGTATTGCTCAACTTTTTTTATATATAATTATCTTGCAATATTTATTGCTGAACTGTATTTATATATAATTATCTTGCAATATTAAAACCAAAATTACTGACAAAATTAAATATTTCATACAGCTTTTCATGCAAGATACATACTTGCCAATGTGATGAATAAGTTGAAATGATATTATACATCTTGTTTTTCTTCCAGCTTTTAAAGGTTCATATTTAGATAATATATGATCAATTACTATACAATTAATAAGAAACTTACTTCTTCTGCTGATGTAGCCTCAAACACATGACAATAAAACTCTTTAGCCATACTACAATATGTCTCCCTGAAATCAGATCATAAAATTTAAAATAAATCAATCCTTAACCAGCCCTTAATCTGCTGAATTTCTTACATGGACTTGTCTATCTTCCATTTTTGGAACTGTTTATAGTCAATTTGGTGATGTAAAGTCATTCGGCCAAGAAAATAGTGCATCCAATTAGCTCAGTAGGTAGAGCATTAAACTGTGTATCAGACAACCTGGGTTTGATTCCCGGACAGTGATGGTCAATTTCAATGTGATTGATCCTGAAGTCTTTTCAAAGGGCCCCTGCCCATTTTACCTCTCCCTCCAGCATGTAAAAGAATTACATTTTTTCTTTGCAAAAGTAAAGGCAATAGTAGGGGTTTAAATTCCCAGGAAAAAGCGTTGACAAAAAATTAAAATGTGGCTTACTGTTTTGGGGGCCCCGGAGTGAAAACAAACCAATACCACCCCTTTAGAGCGTGGTTCAAATACGGGCCCCTTTTAAAGTTCCGCAGGGTGAGAGTTAAGAGACTGCAGGAACATACATCATTTTTTGTTTAGAATAAATTGTCCTTCTATTGTACATTCATATGTAAATGAGAATTAATGCAAATGACACAGGCATTTATCCCCATTTATCATGTACTTTTAATATAAAACTATTTGCTAAAAATTAACATATTTATTACGCATACAAATACTTGAACTCTTGTACTGCTCAATCTATATAATGCACTTGCTTTTACTTTTGAGTTGTGAGGGAATCAAATAGTAAAAATCTGAAACCAAGTAGTCAAGGGTCTGGTCAGATGGCTATTGGCAAATTATTATTAATGAAACACCATTATTCAGTGATCTAAGATGAATTTGCATGTTTAGTTGTCAAGCAGCACCTCCAACATACACAGAAAAATACACATTGGGTCAGACATTTGCCAGATTTTATGGTAAATAAGAAAACGTTATTTCTTACTTCTGAACACAATTGCTATCTATTTCAAGATATTTCTCAAAACAAAATTGGTCTATGTGGCAGCATGGCCAGGTGGTTAATGTGTTGGACCAGTGATCTAAGGATCACTGTCTGAGTGGGTTCAAATCCCATCAGGGGTGAGCTGTTGTTTCCTTGAGCAAAAAACTTTCAACTCGTTGCTAAGTACTGGTTGGTTTCAGGAACGAATTCAAGATAAGCTTTAAACTTCCTGCACAATCAAACTAAAATAAATTCTGTATAAACCAAATGGCTCTTTATATACATGTGAAAAGTGATCACTGGCAAAATGGACTAATCATCTTACCCTGCTATAAATGCAAAATGTTTTAAAGCATCAGTCCTCCTACCACATGCTGATATCTCTGTATATACATGTTGAACCAGCAACTACAAATATATATAATTCATAACTCAACTTTTAAATAACATAACACTCTAACAAAACTAACAAAATGAGGTATGATACCATGAAATTACCACTTAATATTTTATCTAGTAATAACTAAGGTTCAACCAATGAATACTGTCATTTTTAAATAGCTGTTTACAACTGTCATGCAAATTTCTTCTATAAAAATCACTGCTACAAATAAGCTTCAAGTTTTCACCATAATCAAGCTAGTAAAATAAGTATGTTTATCATATACCAGTGCCGATTTTGTGACTGTAATAATGGTATTGCACCGCCGTGCATATATTTTGATTGATGTCATTTGTGTTATACAATAATAATGTAAAGACATGCTAAATGTAAGACTATAGGCTCATCTCTGTTTAACTGTCAACTGTTTTTATTTTGAATATGTGACAAATAGAACATTATATTTGTGTACTTTCAATACTAAATTATTTGAACTTGTTAAATAAAACAATATTATGCTTGCCAGACCCTCGCATAATATGATTTTATTCAATAAATTTAATATTGAATCTACACTCATTCAACATCCTCTATTTAAAATGATCCAATTTTTTTATTCACTTATACATTCTACAATATGTACTTGAATCTTTCTTACATAAGAGGGCACTTTCTAATAACCACTCTAAAATTTATTTAACTACAGTTTAACCTATGCTAACAGTCACTGCTGAGTGCTGAATGTGTTTTATTTTCATAGCAAAATTATAATTGATTAAAATAATAACTGACATGTATTTAAACATTTACATTTATACATGTACTTAATCTTTTATATTTCAAATCCTTATTTACAACATACAGAAAGTTTCATAAATACCTTTTTAGACACCGCATCTATTACAAACAGTTCCTTTTCTCCAAGTTCTAGTATCACATTCTGTAACAGAAATGAGCCGTGTCACGACAAAACCATCATAGTGTGTTTGTGACCAGCATGGATCCAGACCAGCCTGCACATCCGTGCAATCTGATCAGGATCCATGCTGTTCGCTATCAGTTTCTCTACATGTTATAGGGTCTGTAAGAGAACAGCATGGATCCTGATAAGACTGAGCAGAAGCGCAGGCTGGTCTGGATCCATGCTGGTCGTAAACCCATTATGTTGGTTTTGTCGTGAAGCAGCTCAAATATTTCTTCAACTTTATTTTCATATAACAAACCTTAGCCATGAGAGAAGTCTGGCAAAGCTTTGCAAGATGTACATCTTTTTTTCTTTTTTTTTTTTTACTCAAATTCAATGAATGTTTTTTCCAAATTCACTTTAACATGTTTAAGGCAGTTTTATCCTTGAATTTTAGCAGGGAATTAGTTAAATTATTCCCTTAGTTCCAAGACAAATGTATAAACTATCAATATAAGCAAACATCAACAACTTTTAACTGCGTCATTATACAGGAGATAACTTCAAAAATGTTTAAGAAAAGTCAGACATAAGTTACCCCCCATTAATTGGATCATCAACATAGATATGGAGACTAAATGTTGTAAATATGGATGCAGATATCAACTAAAATCTCACCTGTTTATTTGATGACCGCTGAGTCATCTCAGCTACCCCTTGTTCTATCATATTTACTCTACCATCCTGTAACAAAGAAACAATATTCATAAATAAGATTTTAGTCCATCATCCATAATAATGGGAGATAAAAATTTAAGACAAACTTTTAACTGCTAAATATAGGAGCAAAATAATTCATTTACCTATAACAAAGGGTAAATACTATACATATCAACTCTTTTATTAACCTAGAAGAAGGGCAGTGGTTGCTTAGTGATCAAGGTGTCTGCCTCTCAACGTGAGGATAGTGGGTTAAAACTCTGCTGAGGTCACAAAAATGTTTCTTTATATGACACCAGTACTGGTTAATTCCAAGCAGCTGACTTGGGGTGTGGTTCAAATAATTCTCAAGCTTTTATCATAATTATGTTTAAACTTACTCAAAAGAAAGTGATCAAAGTTAATGTGTTTATTTCAAAGATCTTAACAAGTTTTATTCATTTCAAAATGACATTTTCTAATTAAAATATACAATTTTCAAATCCCTACCTTGCCTAGATAGGATTTCCCAAGATATATGGTTTTATAGCTAGCCCTGCAAAATGAAGACATTATATTACGTGGGGAAATCTAATTAAAATTGTACACCAAAAGACAATAATTCATAAACATGAAAATCCTTAAACATGTTTAACTTATAATATGTGAAAAATTATGAAGAAAATGGCTTTCATATTAACATTGTTACATTTTATCTTTTTAACAAATAAAAAAAACAAATCTTTTTAAAAATGGAAATTTGGTTTGGGCAAGGGGTTTGGGCCCACAAAAGGGGACATTTTCCCATTTTGTACATCAAAAAATTGACAAAAAAAAAAAACAGAAATGTATCATTCTGATATTATGAAAATATATATTGGAAAAAAAATGCAATAGAGTTCTGAGTGATTTAGCATAAACATTTATATGATAATTTTTATTATTATATGCTATATATGAATATGTTATAACCAATTATGTATCTCATACTTACCAACAACATCCATATATAATTCTTTTGTGATACAATTCCAAAAACTATCAACATAATTATTTTACTAAAACTTATCAACATAATTATTTTACTAAACTTATCAACATAATTATTTCATTTATTATTATTTATGGTATTACAGACCTTCCATTATAGACCAAATTCACTTTAATTAAAGAAACAATTTCAAAACTGGTAATAGAGGGAACTGGTGGCCTAGTGGTTTAGGTGTCAACCTCTCAATCCAGGGATCATGGGTTTGAGCCCTACGGTCCAAGTATACTCAAATCACGATCATGTTTCCTCATTAGACACCATGACTGGTTCGTTCCAAGACTCAAAAGTGATTAATACATAAGTTGCAAGAACTTATTTCACAATTAAGCTAAAATAAATAAGATTTGACAAAAACTGGTAATTCACTTTAATTTAAAGGCAATTTTGAAACTGTTAGGCTTACCTCCCTTCCGAGTCATGTACAGGAACTTCATCTAGAATTTCCTCAGGAAGTATAGCTTCTGGTGGAAGACGTTCTTCATATTCGGCAAGTGGCGAGCCCGTGTCTGATGTAGATGATGACAATTCAAATCTCAAGACTCCCCAACATTTCCCCCCAACACTCTGAAAAGGGCCCCGTTACCCCATCAGCATTCCCCCCTGTTAAAAATAAAAATCTGTAAAATTCTTGACCCAAATTTTAATTTTGACACCAAAAAAACCTTGTTTTGCTTTTTTGGGAAAAGTATAGCCTGTATAGTTTTATTTCATTAAATTTGGGAAAAAAAGTCCCTTAAAAATCACCTATTTAATGACACTCCCATTAGTAGAAGGATAGCTCAAATGTCTCTGTAATTTATGTCAGACACAACCAAGCACATGTGTAAAATTTAGGTTCCTTCATAAACTAGCTCAAAAACCTCAGAAAGAGTAATGTCACCATTTTAACCCTTATCCTGCGATAAGGTTTTGCCACCAAGTAAGAGCCAGGCCAACCTGCATTAACATGGATTCTAACCAGACTCTGTTCTGTTGGCTGACTAACTTTTTTTCATCTTGATAAATTATTAATCAATTAAAATTTGAATTTATTGCAAGGGGTACCTTTTCATATTAAGATCCCTGTTGTTAATATATTGGCATACCTGTTGTTAAGATATTAGTATACCCGTTGTTAAGAAATTGGCATACCGGTTGTAAAGATATTAGTATACCCGTTGTTAAGAAATTGGCATACCGGTTGTAAAGATATTAGTATACCCGTTGTTAAGAAATTGGCATACCGAATGTTAAGAAATTGGCATACCAATATGTTAACCTTTACTCTGCTGAAACATTTATTAATAAACCATTGCCACCTTAGAACGAGACCATCTTTCATATCTCTACAGTCTTTCACAGCTTTGAAGTGTTAGCTGACTAACATAAAGTTTTCATTCTGATATCCAAAATATTAATAATGGACAGTTCCAACTAGTGAAGCTGGTGAAGTCCATTAAAGAAATTCAGCAAGTCAAGGGTTGTGAATAAGATTATAGTTACTTTCAAATCATTTTAACTAAAAAATATAATTGAATGGCGTAATAATTATTTGCTTACAGTTTCAGACTTCAGTATCATGCTGATACATTTTCTTGTTATTGGGTGTTTTTTGTTGTTGTTTTTGTTTTTCAACATACCTTTAGAACACAAATCTGTACTGGCTGGCCTTCATTCTGGTTAAAGATATAATACACCTAAAATTATAAACAAAGGTAAATGTAAAATTATCATTGATGAGCTATCATAGTCATATAGCAGCAATATTGTGAAATATCTTATTCAAAATAAGCACAAATTCAAAGGTTTTATTAATAAATTTAGTTTCCAAAACAAAAGCTGATTTTAAAAGGACTCCACTAATGTTTTTGACATGATAGGACTGAAAATATTTTTTCAGATTTTTATAACATTTGATAGGCCTTTCTTTACCAATAACTTGAGTTCAAATTTCATTCACTCAAACCAGTTTTCCGAAATTATCCTTTTTATTGTGTTAAAACAACCTGTAAATGAAAAGTGTTTACACCTATTTAAATCAAGTAGGGCTAAAAATTAAATTTAATATCAATTTTTAACTTAATTCCAAGTAACATACTCTCTTGGATTTCAGTAGAGCCACTTTGATAACCAGTTAAAATAAGAATTTACTAATGAAAATTTGAAACAAAGTAAATTATCCTGCTTGTACTTTAAGAGGTCAACTGTTGTCCATTAAGGAAAAACATCCTTAATGCTGCTAAGTGAATTTCAATTATGGAAAAAATTTCAAGAAACATCTAATATAGAATGCATGGTTTAAATGTGCCTTACAGCAGTTATATAAATTAAGTAAAACAAAATAAAGGTCACTTGTTCACATTTACTGCAATGGTTATTGTGGTGAATAAGCAAATCAGGTAATGGGGGATGCAGACTAAGTTATAATAATCAAGTTATAATTAATATGATTTAGTCTGGAATTTTACTGTTTCGACAAGTCAGGTTATGGAGGAAAATGATGCAGTTTAGGTTATGGTCTGTTGGAAATGAGGAAAAAGATGCAGCCTTGGTTGTGGTCTACTTCTACAAGTCAGAAAAAAAAGAATATGATGCAGGATTGGTTATAGTCTGTTTCAACAAGTCAGGAATAAAGAAAATGATGCAGACTTGGTTATGGTCTATTTCAACAAGTCAGGAATAAGGAAAATGATGCAGGCAAGGTTATAGTCTGTTTCAACAAGTCAGGAATAAAGAAAATGATGCAGACTTGGTTATGGTCTATTTCAACAAGTCAGGAATAAGGAAAATGATGCAGGCAAGGTTATGGTCTATTTCAACAAGTCAGAAAATGAAGAAAATTATGCAGGCAAGGTTATGGTCTATTCAACAAGTCAGAAAATGAAGAAAATGATGCAGGTAAGGTTATGGTCTATTTCAACAAGTCAGGAAACAAAGAAAATGCTGCAGGTTATGTTAAATTGTATTTCAAGCATGAACATTTTTTTTTTTTTGTTATTACATGCCAAACTTATACTAAAGAGATACAATGGGATTGGAGGAAAGCGATATTTCATTGATTATGAACATACATTAGGAAAACAAGTACATCTAGGATAATAAAAGACTATTTTGTTACCATTGCATCCCACCACCTACTGTTAAAAATAGGAACATGATTTCTAACAAATACAATGGCTAATCATACATAAGTTTTAAACATTTTCTCATATAAAATTCTGTATTACTTTTAGTACAAAAGCACATCTATATAATCACTATGTAATGTTGCAAAGACAATTCAAATATAACATTGAGAATTCTGAACTTTGCTTTGGTGGAGATAAATGGAATCTAGACGCATGTTTGTGACTATTGCCTCTTATAATCCAATAACACAAGGAAAATAGTCAAAATATATAAAAATTTCTTACAACTTAATGATAATATCATTTTTACCTTCCTCCACTTTTGAGGGCAGGCATTTGTAATGCAGGGCTAACAAGAGCACCGCTAGGCGGAGCATTATATGCCCGAAAGTGTTTTTTTTTTAGTAAGGATGAAGCATTTGTAAGACATGGAATTCGCTGTTCATCCTATAAAATTTTACAGCTGTAGGTTGATTAATACTTAAGTTATTAATAATGACCTTAACCTTTGACCTTGTGACCCCAAAATCAATAGGGGTCTTCTACCTTATATGGACAATCATCCTAAGAAGTTTGAATATTGTGGGCCAATTGGAACTTTAATTATGCTCTAGAAACTGTTTTCAGTATTAAGGTAAAAGTGACTTTGACCTTGTGACCCCAAAATCAATAGGGGTCTTCTACCCAATATGGACAATCATCCTATGAAGTTTGAATATTGTGGGCCAAATGGAACTTACGTTATGCTCCGGAAACTGTTTTTGGTTTTAAGGTAATTGTGACCTTGACCTTTGACCTAGTGACCCCAAAATCAATAGGGGTCTTTTGCCCAATATGGACAATCATCCTATGAAGTTTGAATATTGTGGGTCAAATGGAACTTAAGTTATGCTCCAGAAACTGTTTTCAGTTTTAAGGATATAGTGACCTTGACCCTTGACCTTTTGACCCCAAAATCAATAGGGGTCTTCTACCCAATATGGACAATCATCCTATGAAGTTTGAACACTGTGGGCCAAATGGAACTTACATACATGTGACAAATGAAATTGGCCAAATCTGGATTTTCAGCTGGATTTTAAGGCTCAAAACTGGATTTTTTTTATCGACTTGAATTTCAATGCGTGTTTGGCATATTTGGTTCAAAGAATCTATATTACCCTCAAAGTCATTAAATGATTATATTTTTTTATGATTTTTTTGTAGATCAATATTAATTTATTTCACCAAAAAATAAATAAATAGATAAATAAATAAGTGTAGTCATACAGGCTATTTCAAAACAGTCACATTTTCACATTTCATTATTTTCAGTTTGAGGGATTATATCTGTCTTTTCAGTCATTCAATAATTGTCTACAAGCTATTTGAAAACGTACAACAACTATTCATGAACATAAGACTCTGACAGTTAGATAACGTAACATAAGAAGAAGACTCAAAATAAATGCAAGAATCGTTCTGTTAATTAAATCCACATTTTTGCCTCGATGATTGTGTAATTCCTAAACAAAACAAAAAAAAATACCCACTCTCTAAAAATAGGTTAATTAGACATCTCAAACAGATCCACTTTAAATGATTCTGTACACCATTTATCTTTATCAGTGCGGCACTAATCAAAGAAAATCAAAGGTTGAGCCGAATTCATACATGTAAATTTACAGGGTAGTTTGATGACGTAACGTGTAATACACAAAAGAGGTCAATTGATTGACACACGACACGTGATAAGTTAAACATGTGAGAATAACTTTGGGTTTAAACACTGTTTATTACATCACGGACACCTTGCTGTCAATTAGTGACTCAACATTTAATCCGCTATAATTTAGGATATGGACAGATAACAATCAATGCCCGGAGGCACGGTTTACATGTTAGATACAGGTGCTGTGTTTGATTTTTTTTATGTTGATTTTGATTTTTTTTTTAAATATCGGGAATTCAAGCTGTAATATCGGGAATCGGGATCAGTGTTGAAATATCGGGATTTTTTTAAATCCCGCCGGGATGTCACATGTATGAACTTAAGTTATGCTCTGGAAACTGTTTCCAGTATCAAGGTAATAGTGACCTTGACCTTTGACCTTGTGACCCCAAAATCAATAGGGGTCTTCTATCCAATATGGACAATCATCCTATGAAGTTTGAACATTGTGGGTCAATTGGAACTTAAGTTATGCTCCGGAAACTGTTTTCAGTATCAAGGTAATAGTGACCTTGACCTTTGACCTTGTGACCCAAAAATCAATAGGGGTCTTTTACCCAATATGGACAATCATCTTATGAAGTTTGAACATTGTGGGCTAAATGGAACTTAAGTTATGCTCTGGAAACTGTTTCCAGTATCAAGGTAATAGTGACCTTGACCTTTGACCTTGTGACCCCAAAATCAATAGGGGTCTTCTATCCAATATGGACAGTCATCCTATGAAGTTTGAACATTGTGGGTCAATTGGAAGTTAAGTTATGCTCCGGAAACTGTTTTCAGTTTTAAGGTCATAGTGACCTTGACCTTTGACCTTTTGACCCCAAAATCAATAGGGGTCTTCTACCCAATATGGGCAATCATCCTATGAAGTTTGAACATTGTGGGCCAAATGGAACTTAAGTTATGCTCCGGAATCCAAATTGCTAACGGACGGACGGACAGACAGACAGACGCCAGGGGGTATAACATAATATGCCCTTTCGGGCATATAAAAACGTGTGAGATTTTTGTAAATGTACACTATTAAGATCAACTTTCTTTGCCTTCTACAAAGTATAGAAAGAAGATGCTCATTTTTTCCAATTTCTATGAAAAAAACAATCACCTGAAACCTCATGGTCTTTGTTAACCATTTTATTTTTCTCTATAAACAAAAATATATAGAAGTTTTAATAATGGATAAAAAAACACTCTTACCCCACTTTTACCAACACCCCTCAGACTTTGTCCACACATCTCATCCAACACATCTCCAACACACACTTTATCCTGTCAGAATTTATATAAATTTAACTTAAACAGGTTTATTCTAGCTCACTAATGGTAAATATTTAACCAATTACATATTTAATTCAATTTATTGTTATTCATAATCATATTAAATATTCGAACAGTTAAAACTAAAATATTCTATCATCATGATAAACTCTCATATAATTTATACTCAACTACTTACCAAATATATTACATATTGATAATAAGCAATTTTTCATTGAAAATTTTCTAGCACAGACAAAAGGTAATGCTGTCATTTAATGTTTTTATTTTCTAGGTATATCTAGTTTTAATTTTTTAAATGCCACAGTAATGTATTTAAGACAATATAACCCCTTTGACTCCTAACTCCATCTATTATTTGGCAATGCCACTCAAATAGAGCAAACTTGACAGGCTGAAGAATTAAAACGCAGCTCTACACAGTTTGTTACAAAATTTGTATACATTATTTTGATATCAAATCCATGAAACTCGGTTCCTAATTCAGAGCAGGACAATTCTGTTTAATAAAAATTCAGCATTTTAACAGTTAAGAATTTGAAGCTTTCATTTTGGGGGGAAAACAAAAGGTGCCCCTCTTGGCATATTCCAGGCACAAAGGATACTAAAGAAGAACTACCTATGCTTTCTTTGTCATCCTTTGCCAAGAGTAAACCTATTTCTAACCACATATAAATAGTAATGTAAGAAACAAGATTCTAATTTAATGACTTTATATCAGTAGACGTTGTTATTAAACAAAAGGTTTAACAAAGGTATCACAATGTAACATAGTTTTACATTTTTATTTCAATAAATATCAGTAATAAATTTAATCTTACATCTTCACCAGCCACGCTGTTTGGGTCTACCTGTGTTACAATTGGATATCCTTTCACAGTTCTGAAACACAATTTCAAAGCATTTGAACAATAAACAGTACATAATTTTACTATAATGCAAGAAAAATAAATATCTATTTCCATTCTAACATGATTATATAAAGGAGAATTGATAAAAATATGCTGAACTTCATTGAGTGTTAAAGTAATTTTCTTGACATCATATGGTTTACTGACATCATACTAGTATTTGAATTTATATGATGTATAAGCATTGAGTTTTTTTTTTTGCTGTGCATATATCGTGTAATAATGCACCTGATTGTCGTATTTATTTGACAGGGGAATAGTGTGGAGCCTGTTAGAATTAACACTAACATCTTTGATTTTATATCAAGTATTTCACAGTATTGACAAGTGAGCAGTCTTTAAAACTTGATTTCTGCATCAGAAAAAGTATGATGAGACATGTCTATAAGGTCTCCTTGGGTTAAGGATATGTTAAAAGACTAAGTATTAGGAACACATACCTTATATCTAATCCAAGATCCTCTGAAGGCACTAACTCATATTGCTTATACACCTGAAATGTTGATATTGCGACGTGCGCGCGGGTGGGGCAAAGATTAAGTCTAAATATTCATATAAGGGGCCGACTATACTGGACTAATTTAATTATTTCTTGGCGTAGTCAGGCGTTGATATCTCCCTGGTAGCGGGTAGACTAAAGACTCTCCCCTGGTAGCGGGTGAGCGCACGTCACGATCGACCGAGCCGACCAGAAAATAACAAAAGTTATTTGATTCTCAACAAGTAAATTTATTTAAGGAGCGAATAACAATTAATAGAATTCGAGAAAACTTAACAAATATTTAACTATTTAACAGTATCTTAACTTCCTAAGCTGTCAGACCTCGACGAAAATGGCAAAGTGTGAAAATTTAATAAAAGCTCTTAAATTTAATTTCCTACAAAAATTTATTATGGAAAAATTTACTTAATCAGCAATAATGATGCCAGAAAGTTCTTAGTACCTAAACTTCTGAAGAAACCTGAAGAAATTATCAAAAATAATTATTTAAATTCTGAGAGTAATCAGAGCGTGGCTGCTCTCTAGGAAACCTGGATCGCAACTGAAGTTTAGCGTTGATTTGACCCGGGGCATGCGCAGAGGGTCCCTTTGACCCGATGCTGGGCATGCGCCGTAGGTAACACTGACCCGGTGAAAAAGGGGTCCGCAGAAAATTTATGATCCGCATAATGAGTTATGACCCGACACGGAGCATGCGCACTTGCAAAGAAGATGACTACACGAAAACAGCTGAGCGGAGAAATCTGGAAAATAACTTAAAAATAAACAATAATACAAAATGTCAGCTGTAAGGAACGATGGAGGAGTGTGACAAAGGATGAACTTAAACAGTATGTATCAAAAATCTCAAGGTCTGACGCTGAAATACAACGATATATACGATAGAAAATAACAACATAAAAAGTCACATGTTCCGATGCGGACATGTACATTAATTAAACACATGTGATAATGATTACGAGTTTTGCAATGTTTCAGGTTGAATTGACATGATAATATTATGTTAATATAACATATATATAAGATGTTTATAAGTATTTGAACATGTCAATATTACAAAATAAATATAGTTAATTATTGCAATCTTTATCATTTATTTAAATAAAAGTAATTAAAAGTCCTCTTCACTATTTTTACAATTGTCATTGTAAATGATTACATGCCGTGACGATGACGTCACATTACTCCCCCCCTTAAAAAAATCAGTTCGTCCCGAACTGGTACATTACATTTGTATTTACATTATATTTATTTTATTTATTTATTTTTATTTTTTATAAAAATACACAACTTTACTAAAAAAAAAAAAATAAAAATAATAATTAGCTCAAATAATCAAACATTTGGAATTATAAATGTTGAAATGTTTCGTAAAAAAAAAAAATTGACACAAATAATTAATTGATTTAATCAAGCAAATTATCTGATTACTTATTCATTCAAATTGTAAGTTAATTCTTCAATACAAAAATTTATTACCTCTATTACACACAAAAAAAACTACACTTTAATTAGAGATTACACAACTTACACTATTATCTTCCAAATAGAATTTGTAATCAATAATTTTAACAACCACCTTCATAAAGTTACAATATTTTTTTTTTTTTTAATATACATAAATTAAGACTAAAAGATTAATCGACTTACTGATATTTCCAGAATTCATAATCAATTGACTTAAATATGTACATACATGTAGCAAACAATTTTTTTTTTATATTATAAATGTCCATAACTTTTCCTGTCCAAGTGCACATAATGTTCATAAATTAATATTTACCTTTCCTTCTGTTGTAGAGTATACAGTTCCAAATGAATACGAAGTTATAACACCAGATGAATTATATTTCCAGGTATTCACTACTTATAATTATAATATAAATTTTTATCACACTGAAATTTTTAAATGTAAATTTTATATTAGTTTTCACAGTCCAAAAGTTCTGTTTTAATGATGAATTTTATTTATTATTTATTAATACACAGTCACAACACGATAATTATTTCTTTCCTTATTTTATTGTAGCTTTCTCACAAATATGGATGATGTCCACAGTGCTTGCAGTTGAATGATGTCGTTTGAGTTTCTCTTGCTCTTGCCGAATTTTCTGATGGATTTGGAACGATCGACGTCTCCAAACAATACACGTCTCCATTGTGAAATACAACTTTCTCCCTTTTTATAACCGTGGTACCTTTGCAAGCATAGCTGATGTCGGCTGCATCCACACCAAGTTGCAAAGCTCGGATGCGTTGTTCTTTTATCAGACTTGAATTAACAGTGTTAAGATATGCTGAAGGTGCTCCTCGGAGGTATGTACGAGGATCATGCATCGTGTATTCGTAGTTGGATACTGTATGCGTTTTGTCAACCTCCAGCGGAATGTTCTTAACTTTAATCAGACGATAATCTCTAGATTCGGCTTGTTTGAACTTTGGCAAAACTGGTAATATTGGCATGGTTGTTTGAGTAGACTGGATGGCAGGTGTAACAGTGGTATTCGGTGAACTTGATGCGGATAAACAATTTAAAACTAATTCTGGGGTTGACAATGCTGGTGATGATTCTGCTGGGGCTGGCTCCGGCTCTGGGGTAGAAATAACTGGCGCAGATACAGATACACTTGAATTTGACTCGACAGGTATTAATGGGGTGAATTCGGATGACCATGGTGTAGCAAATAAATTGTCATCTAACAGATAATCAAGGCTAGGTGTCGTGAGCAATGGATTAGTTGATGACCAATCAGTATTGTTTAAATCTGAAATTGACGTTAGCGGTTCAGAAGTGGAAGATTCAACAGATGAACTGACAGGTTGTACCTTTGGTATCTCCTTAGCTCCCTCCGGTTTTTGGGGATTTCCAAACGGCATTAAGCTGTCTGAAGAAGTATGGTAACTTGGCAATTCAACCTGATGGCTATTAAGAACATCTGGATCTACTTCAATGTTTATGCCATAGTCTGGCGGAGTGTTGATATTTTCATATTCGACGCTCTCAGTATTCGTAACCTTCCGTCTCTTACAACATGTTTCTTCATGCCTTCTTAGGTTTCTTGAACGGCGCACCGGATATTCCTCACCACAACCATATTTACAGGCGACTTTTCTCTCGTGCCGGTCTTGGATATGTCTATCCCATTGTATGTCTGTGTCGTAGCCAACACAACATTCTCGACACACATACTTCCTTGTCAGATATGGTAACTTTGGTATTTTCGGAAACTTCGGCATACTGCAAAATACAAATTATGAACATATTGTTACTATTTAGAAGCTATTTGCTTTTTACATTTTATTAACGACTGGTTTCAGGCGATTATGATGAACTATTTGAATCTTGTTTTTACACTTAATCTTGTAATTGAGGTCTGACAGCACATCAATTATTTCAAATGGTCCCACCCACCTATTCTCTAGTTTGGGGGTTCTACCTTTAGTCTTCACTTCTTTAGTCAGCCATACTTTATCACCGATCTGGTAAGAAATTGAATTTGCACGGTGGTCATATTGCTTTTTCTGACGGTCAGACGCAAGTGACATATTATGACGCGCGATTTCATGTATTTTATTCATAATAACACGCTTTTGTTGTATGAAATTACTTGGCGACGCTGCCTCGGTTTCGGGTTTATCTGCACCAAACAATAGATCTGCGGGTAAAATTGGTTCTTGACCTAACATCATTTTACTGGGAGTGTATCCTGTGGATTCTTGTACAGAGGATCTGTACGCTAAAAGTAAAAATGGCAAATGAATATCCCAATCTTTTTGGTTACAATCAACTACTTTTGCTAACATGTCTGCTAGAGTTTTAAAAATTCTCTCACAAAGTCCATTAGTTTGGGGATGATATGGGGAACACCTTGTCTTATCAATATCTAAAATAGTACATAACTCTTGGAATACATTTGACTCAAATTGCCTCCCTTGATCAGTTATAATCTGTCTTGGGATCCCAAATCTACTAACAAATTCAGTAATAAAAATATCAGCACACGTTTTAGCTTCTTGGTTCGGCAATGGATATAACTCTACCCATTTAGTGAAATGGTCAATAACACCTAATATAAATTTGTTGCCCAAATTCGACAATGGTAAAGGTCCAAAAAGGTCAAGGCCTACTCGTTCCATAGGACACCCAACTTGGTACTGCTTCATTTTGGCTTTGGCTCTTGTAAATGGTAATTTCCTTGCTTGGCATATTTTACAACTATTACACCAGTCTTCAATGTCGTCTTGGCTGTTTACCCAATAAAATAACTTTTGCAGTTTATATTTAGTTTTAGTGATACCTAAATGACCTGCCGTTCTATTGTCATGTATTAAAGTCATAACAGTATTTCTCATATTTTCGGGAACTATCAACTGCCAATGATAAGTGTCATCAATATTGTACCATTTTCTATACAATATGTTATTATGTAATCTAATTCTATCCCACTGGGACCAGTATCTTTTAAGAACAGAATTTTTATTGGAAATTTCAGTCCAAGGAGGTCTTTTATTTTCTCTCTTCCAAGATAAAAGGAATTTAAGATTTTCATCTTTTAACAACTCTTTATGTATTTCTTCAGTTTCAATTGATTTTATCCATTGATCCCTGCTTTCACTGTCAACAGAAGGTCCAGCCGATTGCTGTTCTCTCTTAGTGTTCTCCTGGGCCCTTGGATTACACTCTTCTCTATTCATTGAAGCAATTGTTTCCAAAGCTTCCTTATTCTCAGGGATTTCGGGATGTACCATTCTACAGGACTCTTTTATCTCTTCTTCATTTGAAGACATCTCTCTCTTTTCACAATAGTTACAATTTTCACATGGCCTCCTTGATAAACCATCACAATTTCCGTGTTTTGTGCCACTACGATGTGTTATTTCAAAATCGTAAGAGCCTAGGGTCTCTAACCATCTTGCTAATTGCCCACATGTCAATTTCATATTCATTAGCCAAGATACTGCGGCATGGTCTGTCCTAATTTTAAAATGTA